ATGAAAAACAATGAAAAATTAAAAAAATAAACTATGCTCACAAAATGAACAGTATGGTAAACAACACAGCTCAATTCCAACACAATATCACACAAAATAATTATTAAATCATAATGAAAAAAAATCGAAATCCATGAAAATGCAATTTATCAATGAAATTAGAGACATTGAGACATTGAAATTGTAACATATATAGTATAGCGTGTGTTGCTCTTACCTGCAACAGATGGCGCTGTTTCTTAAAAAAAGAATGCTTTTACATGTCACAGATGTGGCATCTATACTTACAAAATGAACAGTATGGTAAACAACATAGCTCAATTCCAACGCAATGTCACACAAAATGTATAAATCAAAATGAAAATAGATATCTATGAAAATTCAATTTATAAATGCAATCAAAATCATTGAAATGGAATTATAACTTATTTAGAATAGTGTTTATTGCTATTACGTGCAACAGATGGTGCTGTTTAAAAAAATAACATGTTTTTACCTGTCACAGGTGTAGCATCTTTATGGCAGGTATATAAAAATTAGAGCGTATTCGAATATAATGTTTTGACAAAATTTCAAAGCCATTGGTGAGGAACTTTCGAAGATTACAGCATGTGCTGCTCTTACGTCCAATAGATGGTGCTATTTTTCACAAAGGCATGTTTTTTCCTGTCATAGGTGAGGCATGTATATAGTAGGTATACAAAAACATGCGCGTATTCGAATGAAACGTTGCATCAAAATTTCAAAGGAATCGGTAGAGAGGTTTCAAAACTTTCCCTCTCAAGAAAAACATAGTTTTTCAAAAAAAGCATGATTTTTATTGTCACAGATGTGACGTCTATATAGTATGTATATAAAAACCCGCTCGGATGCGAATGGCACGTTGTGTGAAAATTTCAAAGCAATCAGTTAAAAACTTTCAGAGATTAGTGATTTTGAACAAACGAACATTTCCATTTCTATTTATATAGATATGAGACGATGTCGACACCATCTGTGGAGTGCACTCAACCCCAATTATTTTAGGAGGGGAGGTGTGATGATGTCAGAACCATCTGTTGTGCTTTATCTGTTGTTAGTGCTTCAGGTACTAACTTACCAGTTAGTTCCTGAAGCATATATGCAGAAGGTTCATAACCATAAGAAAACAGCAAAGCACACTTTTACGGAGTTCGCTTGCATTAAGGAGCGGTTGTTTTACGAATGGTGAGTGTCTCGGAAGATTGAGACTAAGGAACAGCTGGGACTACTTATCCTTTTAGAAGATTTCGAGGAGTATCTATCAGGTCGTCTGAAAACGTATGTGGAGGAACAGCAAGTAGAGACTTTGGGTGCTGTAGCCACCATGGCTGAAGACTACATTTCAACCCGTATGCCTTCTACAAGATATGTTCCCAAGATCTACTCATAACCTTACTTAGAGAAAGAACGAGGAGAAAGGAAAAAAGAACGACAAGAAAGGAAAGTCTCTGTCTCATCTCTGTTGTTTTCCTTGTCTTGCCTCATCTTTCTTGAAATTGGTGACCTGGAGAACGTGCAGTGATCCTGTACTTATAGAATCCACTCAGTAAAACACCTAAACTATTGGGACCGGCTAAAATGCCTAAATCTGTATTATCTTGAGTGCAGGCTGGAGAGATACATAATAATTTACACGTGGAAAATAGTAGAGGGGGCTGGTCCCAAACCAGCACACAGAAATAACATCACATGAGACCAGAAGGCATGACAGAATGTGCAGAATACCTCCCGTTGAAGAGCAGAGGTGCAACAGGTACTCTGAGAGAGAACTCTATCAACATCAGAGGCCCGAGACTGTTCAACACGCTTCCACTACACATAACTGGCCGACCCCTCACAGTGTTCAAGAGAGAACTTGAAAAGCACCTCCAAAGGATACCTGCTCAACCAGGCTGTAATTTCAAACGTCAGGCTGCTCGCAGCCGCGTCCAACAGCCTGGTTGACCAGTTCAGCAACGAGGAGGCTTGGTCGAGGACCGGGCTGCGGGGACGCTAAGCCCCAAAACCATCTCAAGGATCAAAGTCAAGTATGTTTATTGAGACAAGAAAATACATTTCAAAAGAATAGAGTAGCTTAGGCTATTTCAAGGTAACCGCAAGGTAACCTTCTACAAAGTATAAACTGTAGGAGAGAGCCGTTCCACATGGTGCCATGAAGAAAACCCCAGGTAGTCCATGACGAACAAGTCCAAGGAGAGACAGTGCTTTGGACATGCTGGAAGAAAGGATGCGTGTCTGCTAAGTTTAAGTGCAGGGCAGGTAACGACCCTCATAGGAAAGTTATGTTGCTAAGTTGTGTGACACCGCCTGTGGGAACCCACTCCATATGGATAAATAGGAGGGAGAAACCAGGATTGTTTGCCCCATACACTTCGAAAGGGTATGTATCGAGTGACCAGTGTGAAAAATCAGTAGTAATTCTCCGAGATAGTGGAGCAGCTGACTCTCTGATTTTGAAGAGCTCGTTACCCAAGGAAGTGCCTACTGTAGGAAAGCACAGGGGTCTATTACATGGGTTTCCCTCCACTTTTTATGTTACCCCCTTAATAGAGGTTCACTTGGAATCATTATATTTCAATAGCAGGTGTACATTGGCAGTAGAAGACCTATTGAAGGGATTGAGGTAATACTGGCCAATGACTTAGCGTTTGGTTTGGACAATAACCATCTCATACTTGTTGCAGATCCAGTAGAAGATGTGGTGAAGCCAGTAAAAGCAGTACAAACCAGATCCCAAGTAAAGACTTAGCTGGGATTGGATAATTTTTTTAACCCTACACCTACCCCACAGGTTGCCTATAGTACTCCATCTTACTCTCTAGACTCTACTCCAGAACTGAAGCTCTGGACTAGAGCAACCTTGATTACCGAGCCGAGCAAGAGAAGGACCCCCAGGTGAAAGCTCTTGCAGACACCATCAAGACCAGTTCGAAGGCAGGTGACCAGTATTTCTGAAAGGACAAGTTACTGGGCCGGAGGTATCCACAAATACCCCTTGACTCCAGGGGTAGGTACGCAGGTAGTCGTGCCTTCAGTGTTCAGAACCAAGCAGATGGAGACAGCCCATGCTGGATTATATTATGGATATTGCAGGCTTGCAAAAATTTTGTATCGTCTAGCCAGATATTTCTTCTGTGTCTTTTGTATTTACTTCCTCTTTGCCATACGATCAGTGCTGAATGAGTCTCTAGGCTTATCTCCATTTGAAATGGAGTATGGTCACACAGTGCGAGGACCATTGTACGTTATCAAGGACCATTGGGCTGACAAAGACAGCAACATGGATGCGCTGGACTGGTTATCTACGCACAAAGGCAGGTTGTTTTCTGCACGGGGAACAAGCCAAAGAGAACCAGTTACAATCTCAGGTAACTACCTAGAAGAGATACGACAACAAAGCGACACCCAGGGAGTTTCAGGTAGAAATTCCCTGGGTGTCGCTTTGTACTGTAGTACTGATCTGTTTTCCAACGTTCACAGGAAATCTGTGTACCAAATGTATTTATTGGTCCTTACCCTATTCTCAAGAAAGTTAATGCTAGTAACTATATCCTTAGCACTACAAACATAAAAAAAGCAGATGTTGGTACACATGAACATGGAGAAGCTGTACTAAGGACGGGATATTCGCCCAGTGACGATAGTGGTTTCACGGGAACCAGACAAAGAGATGATGGAGGATGTTGGTAAGCAAGTAGCATCGAATTCAGATTCTTCTGAATCTACCTACCAAGTTGACTCATGTGCCAGAGGAGCAACAGCGATCCCTCAAAGAGTTAATAATGCAATACAAGTCTATTTTCGGAAGTACTCCTGGTCTGACGTCCGCCTTAAAGCACGACGTTATCTTTGAGGAGGGTGTGAGATTGATAGAGCAACATCCCTACCGACTAAATCCCTGCAAGAAGGTGGTGGTAAGACGTGAGATAAGACGTAAGACTACATTCTCCAACATAATCTGATCGCCCGAAGTATTAGTCCGTGTCGTCCCTCATTCTGCTAATAACCAAGCTTGGTAATAAGCATAGGTTATGCATTGATTACAGACAGGTTAACAAGGTAACATTAGTAGATACATATCCCCTTCCGAGGATAGAAGAATGCATTGATATCCTCGGTAGGGCCACCTACCTAATGAAGTTCGACCTCTTCAAGGGCTACTGGTAGGTTCCTCTGACAGACCGTGACAAACCTATTTGTGCTTTTGTGATTCCTAATGGTCTTTTAAGTGTCAAGTGATGCCATTTGGATTGAAAAATGCCGCATCTACATTTCAGCCATTGATGATTATCGTACTCCGTGACGTAGAGAATACGTCTTCATAGATGACGTGTTGATCTAAGACTCAAACTGGGAAAACCATTCACGACCTCTAGAAGCATTCTTTTCGTCTATGCAAGAAGCTATGTTCATAGTCAAACTATGTTTTGAGTACCTCAATCAAAAACAACAACAACAGAAGAATTTGTCTTTGAGAAAGTGAGGTGAGACCTTACGAAATGCATCACTAGGCGTCAGACCTAAATAATAAGTAAAAAGGAACTTTGGAGAGTTAATTATTAATCTTCCAGCTTCAGTGAAGAAAAACATAAGGAATATCGAGAAGATTCGTACCAGAATCACAAATCTATGACTTTCTGTCGTTTTTAACAAAATATATATAAGTATATATTTATATATAATTACTATATTATATTTTTTTGCAATTGGGACCTTTAAGCCAATAAAACTTCAAATTAGACTGAAAACTTTCCCGAATTTATTCCGCTAAACTAAACATGAATGTTTATGTGTTCTTGTATTGATACTTACCTTGCTTGTGCCCTGTAGGACATATATCCCATGAGTATCCCCTAGTTCTAAGTAATATCTGCTATGAACAATATTCGTTGTTAGTTAATAATATATTATGTATTATTGCTGCTGCAAAGATTAAAAAATTGATCAATCCCAATACTGAAGGAAGATAACTTTGCCAGGGGGAGCTGAAGATGACGTCGGCAATGGAGGAGCTGTGTGAGTCACTGTTCCTGGACCAGGTGCCGGAGAGCTGGACAGCCCGCGCCTATGCCTCGGCCTATGGCCTCACCGCCTGGTACGCCGACCTCCTCCTCAGGATGAAGGAACTCGAGACATGGGTCGGAGACTTCCAGGTCGGTGCTTCCTCCTTCATGTCAGGATATTTTCTCCAGGTTTTCTTATTAGTAAAACCAAACCTCTATTTTGTCTTCTGTCTTCATTTCTTATCAGACTTTGTGATAAATGATTGACTTTCCAAGGTTCTGGCACAATAAACTAAGCTACTAACATGTTTAGAACAAAAACACGAAGATACGCATGCATGTAGATATATTAAATAACTACCTATATTGCAGACAATTTGTCTTTGCTTACCTGCTGATATCTGAAAAATATTTAATTTTTTTATGCCTTTCACTACAGATTATAAAAATGCAGTTTTTAAGAGGATTCAAAAAACTTTTAAAAATAGTAGAAGGATATGTACATTTGATTCAACGCTTGACAATGGAAGCCGAACTGCGGTACTGTAGAAACAAACAAATAGTGACCCGTTCAGAGATCAGGAGCCCAACTCTGAGTTTATCTAAGTCGTACACGGAAGAATTCGGTGATTTGTTTGTATAATCTCCATCATTTTCCAGCCTTTTGTCGTCATGAGGGGGCTTAGTGGGCGGCTGTCGGAGTGTGATGCTCTATGGGACAGCATGTCCTCTTTCCATTTGAAGCCTTATGTTCTTGCTGCTGTTTTCACTAATTTCGCTGGTTGCTTTTACCTCTTCCTCATGTTTCATTTTTCTTCCCCACCTCTTCTCCTTTCTGATTGTTCCTTCCTGCCGACTCGGCCGATCCTGAATATTCTTTCCGATATCTTCTGTTTTGACGTCAGGTGATTGGGGAAGCACTTTCTATCACCTGTAGAACTGTGGCACCTGACGTTGAGCGAGGGGACGTTTTTATTGTCAGACTTTGCCTTTGTTGCTGAGCCCGATCTCGACGGAATGACAGTTCTTAAAGTGACAATTGCATGGTCAATCTTAATATTTTGGGTGCATCCACTATGTACCCTTGGGGGTACCTGGCAGAGGTCTGGACGGGTGTCATATCCTTTAATTGTAGCATCATGAGAGGTATGGGGCTTAATCGTGGACGAAATTATATTCATGTTCATTTATGTGCCGATTTCTGACCCTCATTCAATTCGGCTGTATTGAAAGCAAAGGTCAACAAATTGATCGAAGCTGTGAACGCCAAGAAATCCGGACTCCACCTGCCAAAGAATATTGAGAAATACAAACCTGGATACGCATATGGAAATGTCAAGACACACAAGCCTGTAAACCCACTTCGGCCAATCATCAGCCAGATACCCACACCCACGTACAGACTGGCGAAGCGACTCAACGGCTTGCTGACTCCTTATGTCCCTTGCACCTTCAGCCTGAGGTCTCCAAAGGAAATTGTTGACTTACTGCGGGGCACACGGGCTACAGGGATAAGAGCCTCGTTGGACGTAGAATCACTGTTTACCAACGTACCTGTGGATGAAACAATCGGGATGATAGCAGACAGAGTGTATCGTGATCCGGCCTGTACTCCTCTTGACATACCAGAAAACATTCTAAAGAAATTACTCCAAGCTTGTACTAAAGAGGCACCCTTCTTGAGCCCGGATGGGCACATGTATAAGCAAGTAGATGGGGTCGCCATGGGTTCTCCCTTAGGTGTCCTGTTTGCGAACTTCTACATGGGTACCATCGAGCAAAAGGTCTTAGTCGACATGAAATTGAAACCGGCCATATACTGCAGGTATGTTTATGACATTTTTACACAGGTACCTGATGTCAGACATCTACAGGAGCTGAAGGAGGCATTTGAACAGAATTCTGTGTTGCGTTTCACTTACGAGATGGAGAAGGATGGGAAGCTACCCTTTCTAGATGTAACAGTCATGGAAAGAAGCGGAGGTTTCCACACTGCAGTCTACACTAAGGAAACAAACATAGGAATGTGCCTCAATGCCAACAGTGACTGCCCAGACAGGTACAAGAGGAGAGTCGTTAACGCTTATGTCGACCGTGCTCTCAGCCACAGCTCAGGATGGAAGCAAGTCGATGAAGAACTCTGTAGGGTAAGGCAGGTCCTAGTCAACAACGACTTCTCCAATGGTTTCGTTGAAGACATCATAAGAAGGAAGGTGAAACGCCATGCAACCTCTGAAGAGACAACTAACACAACACCTGTACCCCTATTAGACTATTTTACAGGAACTTCTTTTCCACAGCCCATAAAACGAAGGAAAGGGTCCTGAAAGATATTGTTAATAGAAACGTTATCCCTAGAGACAAAAATCAGAAGATACAATTAACGATCTACTATAAAACCAAGAAAACTGCCAACCTACTCATGAGAAACTCTCCAGACACAAAGCAGAACGCTTTAAAAGAGACCAACGTCGTCTATGCCTTCAAATGCCCACTTGGGGACTGTAAGCCTCAAAAATCTCAACATATAGGCAAGACAACAACATCTCTTTCCAAGTGATTAACGATGCATAAGCAACAGGGCTCCATTAAGGAACATATAATCTCTTCCCACAACCAGACCATCACCAGAGAAGTCTTAACAAAAAACATGGAAATCATCGATAGATACAGCGACAGCAGGCGGCTAGATATCTGCGAGGCACTACACATTAAGAAGTTGACACCAGCAATCAACAGCCAATTAATGCACAACTACATTCTAAAAACTTCAAGACTCCGCACCAATATAGAAGCATCAAGAAATATGGGCCAATAGGCCTTCTGCAGTCTAATACCCATTGTTTCGTGTTCTATCCTGTGTTGAAAGTTTTGTTCACCTCATCCAAAACTGTTGTAACATATCACCTCACGCAAAATACGGGTATAAAATGAAAAATGAAAGCTGTTTAAATCATTGCACAGTAAGAACTCTGTTTAAGTGTTTGCAGGTTATAGTTGTGTGTGTGTAAATAAAAAGTCTTTGAAAATGTAATAAGTTATTACGAAACGCGTTCAAGTGTCACGTCAGACTAGAAATAAAAATGAATTTTGGAGAATTAATTTTTCAGTTACCATCAACAGTGAAAAAGAATATAAGAAACATTGAGAAAATTCGTGTTAGAATTATTAATCTTACTTTTTCGGTCATATTTAATAATAATATATATATATATATATATATATATATATATATATATATATATATATATATATATATATATATATATATATATATATATATATATATATATATATATATGTCGTACCTAGTAGCCAGAACTCACTTCTCAGCCTACTATTCAAGGCCCGATTTGCCTAATAAGCCAAGTTTTCCTGAATTAATATATTTACTATAATTTTTTTCTTATGAAATGATAAAGCAACCCTTTTCTCTATATATGAGGTCAATTTTTTTTTATTGGAGTTAAAATTAACGTAGATATATGACCGAACCTAACCAACCCTACCTAACCTAACCTAACCTATATTTATAGGTAAGGTTAGGTTAGGTAGCCAAAAAAAGCTAGGTTAGGTTAGGTTAGGTAGGTTAGGTAGACGAAAAAACATTAATTCATGAAAACTTGGCTTATTAGGCAAATCGGGCCTTGAATAGTAGGCTGAGAAGTGCGTTCTGGCTATTAGGTACGACATATATATGTATATATATACATACATATATATATATATGTTGTACCTAGTAGCCAGAATGTCGTACTCGGCCTGCTATGCAAGGCTCGATTTGCCTAATAAGCCAAGTTTTCCTGAATTAATATATTTTCTCTAATTTTTTTCTTATGAAATGATACAGCTACCCATTTCGTTATGTATGAGGTCAATTTTTTTTATTGGAGTTAAAATTAACGTAGATATATGACCGAACCTAACCAACCCTACCTAATCTAACCTAACCTATCTTTATAGGTTAGGTAGCCGAAAAAGTTAGGTTAGGTTAGGTTAGGTAGGTTAGGTAGTCGAAAAACAATTAATTCATGAAAACTTGGCTTATTAGGCAAATCGGGCCTTGCATAGTAGGCTGAGAAGTGCGTTCTGGCTACTAGGTACGACATATATATATATATATATATATATATATATATATATATATATATATATATATATATATATATATATATATATATATATATATATATATATATATATGCGAACAAGCCCGAATGGTCCCCAGGACATATGCAACTGAAAACTCACACCCCAGAAGTGACTCGAACCCATACTCCCAGAAGCAACGCAACTGGTATGTACAAGACGCCTTAATCCACTTGACCATCACGACCGGACAAAATGAGGTGATAGCCGAGGCTATATGAACCACCCCACCGCCGGCACTCGGATAGTTATCTTGGGCATAGCATTTTACCAAATCACCTCATTCTTTGGGGCACACGTGAGGAACACAAATGCGAACAAGCCTGAATGGTCCCCAGGACATATGCAACTGAAAACTCACACCCCAGAAGTGACTCGAACCCATACTCCCAGAAGCAACGCAACTGGTATGTACAAGACGCCTTAATCCACTTGACCATCACGACCGGACAAAATGAGGTGATAGCCGAGGCTATATGAACCACCCCACCGCCGGCACTCGGATAGTTATCTTGGGCATAGCATTTTACCAAATCACCTCATTCTTTGGGGCACACGTGAGGAACACAAATGCGAACAAGCCTGAATGCCCCAAAGAATGAGGTGATTTGGTAAAATGCTATGCCCAAGATAACTATCCGAGTGCCGGCGGTGGGGTGGTTCATATAGCCTCGGCTATCACCTCATTTTGTCCGGTCGTGATGGTCAAGTGGATTAAGGCGTCTTGTACCTACCAGTTGCTTGGCTTCTGGGAGTATGGGTTCGAGTCACTTCTGGGGTGTGAGTTTTCAGTTGCATATTGTCCTGGGGACCATTCAGGCTTGTTCGCATATATATATATATATATATATATATATATATATATATATATATATATATATATATATATATATATATATATATATATATATATATATATATATATATATATATATATATACATATACTACCTGGAAATAGTCAATCCCTTTGTGATAATAGGTAATACAAAACATACTTCT